AGTAGTGCAGCACCATTTTTTCACTCATTGTATATTATTTTATTTTTATTTATTTTTATCCCTGACTTCTCCATCAAGATCAATAACTCAATCATCAGTCCCTCCCCTCATGCCAGGGTGCTAGGTGTAATCCTAGACTCCCATCTGTCCTGTCAGCCCCAAATTCAATCGCTGTCCAAATCTTGTAGACTTCATCTCCGCAACATCTCCAAGATACGCCCGTTCCTAACCTCGGAAACCACTAGCAACTTATTCACTCCCTGGTTATCTCTCGCCTTGACTATTGTAACTCCCTCCTCATTGGCCGACCTCATCGCAGGCTATCCCCTCTTCATTCTATCATGAATGCTGCTTCCAGACTCATCCACCTTACTAACCATTCTATATCTGCCACCCCTCTCTGCCAATCCCTCCACTGGCTTTCCATTGCCCAACGGATAAAATTCAAAACATTAACAATAACGTATAAAGCCATTTATAACTCTGCCCCAAATTACATCACCGATCTTATCTCTAAATATCACCCAAACCGTACTCTTCGCTCCTCGCACGACCTCCTGCTCTCTAGCTCCCTTGTCTCCTCCTCCCATGCTCATCTCCAGGACTTCTCCAGAGCTTCCCTCATCCTCTGGAACTCTTTACCCCAATTCATCATAACTTTTAGGCGATCTCTGAAAACCTATCTCTTCAGGGAAGCCTATCCTGCCATCAGCTAATAATGGAATCTTCTACTCCTCCTACCAGTCCATCCCCCACAGTTACTACCTTTTGTACTACTAGCCCCTCCCTCCTAGATTGTAAGCTCCAAGGAGCAGGGCCCTCCTATCCCTCTTGTGTTGAACTGTATTGTTGCTGTATTGTCTCCCATTATATTGTAAAGTGCTGAGCAAACTGTTGGCGCTATATAAATCCTGTATAATAATAATAATTTTAATATAATGTTTTAGCTCCATGCACACTAGTGTTTTTTTGAAGCTCATAAAATCCCTGAAAAAAAGATGCTGGTAATAGCATTTTAAGTATCGTTTTAGTAGTGTTTAAAGCATTTAGGGCATTAACATTTTACTAGCGTTTTTAAAGTACCTGTAGATAAAAGCTATAAAGAAGCTGTTTTAGTAGTGTTTAGGAGCGTTTAGCGTTTTTTTCTGTTGGAAGGCTCCATGCACACTAGACTTTTTTTAAGCTCCTAGCAGCTGTTAATAGAATTTTTTTCTACTCCTCGAAAAAACTCTACAAAACCATTTTTTTTCTGCTTCTAGATGCCGAAGCTCAAAAAATGCCAATAGCCTAAAGTAGTGTGCATGGACACATATTAACAACACTACTTAGCTTCTAAGAGCAAAAAAAATGCTAATAGCTTCTTAAAAGAAGCTAGTGTCCATAGAGCTTTCTATTGTTTTATATTATTTTGATATAGAGAGGGGGCCCCCTTCTGTCGGGGAGAAAGGAAAAAATGTCACCAGCACACCAAGGATCACCAATATGGGTCCAAAGTTTTTTATAAACCATCACATAGTTACAGCAAGGCAACGTTTTGGAGTCTCGCAGGACCCCTTCATCAGGCATGTGTCACATGCCTGATGAAGGGGTCCTGCGGGGCTCCGAAACGTTGCCTTGCTGTAACTATATGATGGTTTAATAAAACATTTGGACCCATATTGGTGATCCTCGATGTGCTGGTGACATTTTTTCCTTGCTGATTCTGGTCGGATCCAGCCGACGGTCACTGCAGCACCCACTTATACACACAGCCATTTTTAAAGCAGGAACATGTGCGTTTGGATTATACACTTCCCTTCTGTCGGGGGGCCCAGGGCAGTTGCCCCTTTTGCCCCCTTATAAATCTGGCACTGCCCAGGGGGTGTGTCCTTTATTCCCTGGGATCACAGGAAGTAATTTTATTGATTCTGGAAAACCTGGAAAAGGATCAGCACTGAAATGCAGGGTGGTGAGTCTGTAGGGGCAGCACCGGAGATAAGGTAAGTATTGCAGTCAAAGCTGATTTTTGTGTTTTAAACTACTGCATATTTAACCTCCCTGGCGGTATTCCCGAGTGTAGCTCGGGGTAAAGTTTCAGTACCAAAAGTGGTAACCCCGAGCTACACTCGGGCTTACCATGCGGCGTTGCACAGGGATTCCCTACAGTGCTTACCTTGTCCTTCGCTCCCGTGATGCGTCCCCTGCAGTGTCCCCGGCCATCTCCTATGGCCGATGCCAGCATCTGGCTTTCGTGTTCCGGCCGGGACGTACGGGCGCCGGAACCGGCGACAAATTTGAAAATTAAAAAAAAAATGACATTTTTTTAAAAACGATTATTTCATAGAAAAACATTCCTGTATCAAAGCATTTCACATACATTTTGTCCCTACTGCTTTGTCCTGTGCCCTGCCTGCATTTTGACTGTTCTTTCTGCCTGGAAACTTAGAAAAGTCCACGGAGTCCAAAAAGCGTCCCTTTAGGTCAAAATCGGTTTTAGATCGGCTAGAGAACAGCGATAGTAAATCAGAACCACTTTCAGAATTGAGTGATAATGATTCGTGGGGAAATTCGTCATCAGACACTGAAAACAATTTTGCGACTTTGCTCAGTGATGTGCGAACTTGGCGCTATATTTCAAATTTCAGTGTTTTTGGTTTGATTATATTATTGAATTAAATTTATTATTATTATATTATTATTTTTTATGATTATTTATTAAATTATAATTTATGATTTCGTGTTTCAAGTTTTATCATACCCGGGATATTTACTAGACTCTTGTTCGGACAGATTTCAGTGAGTTATTCCTAAATTACAGCCCTACAATAACAAAAATACATATTTCCATGCAAAAAAATGGTAACCGCTTTTGGTACAAAATTCCTGACATAATCAGACCGCCAGGGAGGTTAAATGATATTAAACCCAAGGACACAAATGTAATATTGCATATATAGGACTATTCAAACTAGAGAAAAAAAATGCAGCTTCCACATTGATGGCTGATAAGCTAAAATAAACAACATTTTTCTTTTAGTATTTAGATATTTAAAAAAAGTTAAGCTGAAGTTGGACTTCTGCAGTGACATACATGTATGGCACAACTCACCACTAATAGTTGCCGTAATGTTTTGCAGATTTGTACTGAAAAGAATGAATGATATCTGCATTTGACACATTCATTTATATAGCTGTTTGCTTCTTTTGTTTGCTAACTAGTGTATTAAAGGAGTTAAAGTAGCATCTACACAAATATTTAATATGCATGTTGATGCTTAATGGCTTTAGTTCAGAATTGCAAATGACTTCAGCACCATGGACAGTATCATGTCCTATTTGTATTGTACTTGGAGAGCATGCTGTACATGGAGCTGAACAAAGATGAGACACGATTACCAGGCTTCTGTATTTTTGTATTATAATAAATGTAAAGGCATATAGCAATTTAAAATACAAAATTACAGAAGGAAATTGTATTTTTTCGCCTACTTTTAACTTCTGCATTCAGTTTAGTAGGAAAAAAAGGCAATCAGTAAAATAACACCTCCATTCTGAGCGCACCCTTGATCATTACATGCTTGTCAAAAGATCCTATTTTTGAGTTGTTTGAACACAATGGTTAAGCTAGTAGGTGACAGAAGACCCCAGGATGGCTTTAATTCTGCTGCCCTATGAGTCAGGGATGTCTACTAAGAGCATACACAAAAGAAGCGCATGCATGAGATACTCGGCTAAGAAGCTTCTATAGCAGCCTAATGCCAGTTTAAAATTTTAAGATAGAAGATTTTTTTTACCTTAACCTCCCTGGCGGTCTGATTATGTCAGTATTTCTGTGCTCAAAGCGGTACATTATTTTCAATGGAAATATTTTATTTCTTTATTGTAGGCCTGTAATTTGTAGGAATAACTCACTGAAATCTGTCCAAACAAGAGTCTAGTAAACATCCCGGGTATAATAAAATTTGAAACAAGAAATCATAAATTATGATATAATAAATAATCATTAAAAAATATATAATAATAACTTTAATTCAATAATGTAATCAAACCAAAAACACTGAAATTTGAAATATAGCGCCGAGTTCGCACATCACTGAGCAAAGTTGCAAAATCATTTTCAGTGTCTGATGACGAATTTCCCCACGAATCATTATCACTCAATTCTGCAAGTGGTTCTAATTTATTATCGCTGTTCTCTAGATGGTCTAAAACTGCTATTGACCTAAAGGGACGGACGCCATGGACGTTCTCAGTTTCCAGGCAGAAAGAACAGTAAAAATGCAGGCAGGGCACAGGACAAAGCACTCGGGACAATATGTATGTGAAATGGTTTGATACAGTAATGTAATACTATCAGATTTTAGTGTATTGAGTGAATGTCAAATTTTGAAATTTTTGAATTTCCCGCTGGTTCCATCACCTGTACGACCTGATGCTCTCAGGGAACAGAACCAGGAAGATGGATGCCGGCATAGGCCGGAGGACATGGCCGGGGAAGCTGCAGGGGGGACATTGTGGGACCGCAGGACAAGGTAAGTGCTGGAGGGATCCCAGAGCAACGCTGCAGTGTAATCCCGAGTGTAGCTTGGGGTTACCGCATCTAGTACTGAAAGTTAACCTCGAGCTACACTCGGGAATGCTGCCAGGGCGGTTAAAGCGATACTAAATCTTAATTATTTTTCAAAATAATACACATGTCATGCTTACCTGTTCTGTGCAGTAATTTTGCACACAGCTGCCCTGATCCCCTTCTTTTCAGGTCCACCACTGGTGTTCTGGCTCCTCCCCTTCAAGCAGTGCCCCCAGAGAAAGTTGCTTGCCCTGGGAGCACCGTTCAATGGGGATTTAAAGTTTCACAGCAGTAAACTTAAAACTTATATATATATATATATATGCAGAATATTGCAAAATTTTTAACAGAGGTGTAAACTATGACTTAGGTTCAAACTGAATAAGTGCCACTTGTACTAGGCAGCCAACATGTTTACAATGTTTAAAGTGTTACTGACCCCCGGACCCTGCATTCACTATATTTGGTCTCCCACAGTACACACTACATGGAAATGCAATTATTTTAGTAAATATAAACTGCTAAATATCATTTCTCATCAGCAGTTAGAGCAGTCTTGTGACTTCTATCAGTGTCCAGCAAAGCACTGTTTAATACACAACAGTACCGGGAACTGATCAAAACTCCTACAGCATGTCAAACAGCGTGATGACGTAACAAGCGCTCGTTACATCATCACACTGGAAAACATAGGGACCCTAACTAAAAAAGCTAATGGGGCTTTAACAGAGACATTCTCCAGAGGTATAGCCCAATGGAGAATATCTCAATTACATCAATATCCAACATATCTATGCAGATTGGAACCTATTAGCTGGGGATCGGTTTTGGTCACACTTTGAATACGGATATGCGGTTTTGTACACTTGGCCTACCTCTGCATTCTTGATGGAGGGACCCTTCCTTTGGAACCAAATGGTCATGGTTCCCTTTGGCTTTTTATGAACTTTTTGATGTCATCATCTTGTTATATCTCCCCGAGGAAGCGAGCTATTGTCCTGCAAAATGCGTTGGAGAAAAGATCGATGTAAAATATTGGCGCAATTATGTAAACTATGTTTCTTATGTCATCCAGGGATATTCTTTGTAATGTTATGTAATAGGCCTGTTATTTTGTACAAGCTACACATGCTTTTTGATACAAGCTATATGAATGCTCAAAATCTCCACCACAGCTGTAGTTTTAATACTGTTCAATAAAGCTGTAACCTTTTATATTTGGAGTATTATATCTTCTTCTTGGTGTGGTGCCTCCTAAAGCCCCATTAGCTTTTTTAGTTTGCGCCCCTATTTTTTCCAGTGTCTTGCAAATAAGGGGTGTGGCATCAGTAAAATCCATTAACAAGGGGTGAGACCTTTATTATAGGCCTCCCTCTCCCCCTTCTCCAATTAATGTTTCATGTTATCACACTGTTTGACATGCTGTAGGAGTTCTGATTGGTTCTCAAGACCGTTGTGTACTCATTCAAAGTGCCGTTTTATCATTGAACATGTGAGTTTATCTACTGGTTTCTAATAAAATTGGTTATACAGTTTTACGCTATGTATGTCTTCCTACCTTTCTTTTATGATATTCATGATTGACACCATCTGGTTTATATGAGATAAATTGGAGGAGAACAGTGGAGGAGATTCCAGACCTAAATTTTTGGCATTTTTAAGTACACTTAGAGATATGGAGGAATGATGGAGTTGCATCCAGATCTGCTTTGACCACATGCTTTATGACTCTTTTGGTATCGTAAGAGTCCACTTGATCTGGTAAGAGTCCATTGTGTGTACAGTGGTGGTGCACTCTGGTTTCAAGAGGACGTGGGGAAAGATATCCATCTTTTACACTATATTACATATCAAATATCAGAACTTTTTTTTTTCTCCATCACTTGGACTTTATAGTCACTTTTTTGTTTGCATGCTATATAATTTATATATACTTATGTTTCTAGATATGGGCACCACAGTGGCTAAATGGTTAGCACTTCCACCTGGCAGTATTCAGGTCATAGGTTCAAATCCCAACCACAGCACCACCTGCCTGGAGTTTGCATGTTCTCCCTGTGCCTGCATGGGTTTCCTCCAGGTACTCTAGTTTCCTCCTACACTCCAAAGACATGCTTGTAGGTTAATTAGCTCTTGTCTAAATTATTATTATACAGTATTTATAAAGCGCCAACAGTTCGCTCGGTGCTTTACATTACAATGGGAGACAGAACATGCGACAGTACAATAACAATGGATACAAATGGAGAAACAGAAAAACCTAGTGCATTATCGTTTAAAATAATTTATTAAAGAAACAAAAATAGGTATCATACTCACAATGGACATAATAACACAGGCATGTCAAACTGAACAAGATGCTTCATCCAAACAACATCTGAGTCCATACGATGGAACCCTGGATGACCAACTGTCTAACGCGTTTCGAGGACACAACCTCTTCCTCAGGCGTTAGCCAGTTGGTCTTTAATAAATTATTTTAAACGATAATGCACTAGGTCGGTGCACCCTTTTTCTGTTTCTCCATTTGTATCCAGTGTATTTGGACCACCCTGGTCTGTTGAGGGCAGCAAGCAGTGCATATTCCAGAAAATTCCAGAACATTCCTATTGGGTCTATTGAGTCCTTTCTTAGCGCTGGAGTAAAGTGTTTGTTGTGATAGTACAATAACAATACAATATGATACACGAGGGATTCGAGGGCCCTGCTCCTTGGAGCTTACAATCTAGGAAGGAGGGGATAGTGGTACAGGAGGAAATAGCTGTGGGGGATGGAGTGGTAGGAAGAGTGGAGGAGGTTGGGAATTAGCAGGGGGTGGGGTAGGCTTCCCTGAAGAGGTGGGTTTTCAGGGTGCGCCTAAAGGAGAGGAGAGTAGGTGATAGTCTGATGGATTGGGGTAGGGAGTTCCAGAGGATGGGTGACACCCTGGAGAAGTCCTGGAGGCGGGCATGGGAGGAGGAGACTAGTGAGCTAGAGAGAAGGAGGTCATGTGAGGAGCTGTGCGTGCTGGGTGGTACTTGGATATTAGGTCGGTGATGTAGTTTGGGGCAGTATGATGGACAGCTTTGTACGTCAGTGTTAGGATTTTGAATTTGATCCATTGCGCAATCGGAAGCCTAGTATGTGTATGTATGAATGTGAGTTAGGGGACCTTAGATTGTACACCCCTGGAGGGTTAGGGACTGATGTGAATGTACAATATATATGTAAAGTGCTGTGTAAACTGATGGCGCTATATAAGTACCTGTAATAAATAAATAATATGTTATTTACTTTTAGCGTGGCAATATATTTACTGCATATACAGAATGATTTTACTGTTGTGGGTTTAGCAACTCTTTAAACCCAGTTAGCTGATGTGGGCAGCTTCATTACCATGCCACTAGTCTGATAGCGGTTGCTATTGTCAGAGAACAGAGGTTGCTTATACATCCAAAAAAATCCATTCCTAACACATTCTCTGATCTGCAAAGATACAAAATTCTGATTGCTGCTATGGACAACAATATGTCCTTGCTTGGCTGAAGGTTTTATACAGGAGACAACTTGTTACTATCCTAATTGATGAACGGTTTCTAAAAAGTTATGTACCGTTTTCTGTGTCTTCAGAGCAGATTGTTAAAAAAGCGTTAATCATTTAAATGCCCGAATACTTGCTTTGTACTGCACAGATCTCTTGGCTTATAGTAAATGAATTTTTGATAAAACTTCAAACCCAGAAGTTTAATCAGAAGTTGACCTAAGCACACGTTGAAGTCTATTGTGAAGTTATCCGGCATATTCCTGCCACTCATCTCTCTTTTAATCTAATGATCTTTCTACTCTACCCGTACATGCTCATTTACATTCCTTGACACATTTTATCAATTCATACTTTGCCTTTCTATTTCAACTATCCTCCTTTTAATATACTTTCTTGTCAGGAGATTCGCAGCTGTCACCACCTCCTTTTCTCTCTTTTTCTCATATTTTAGAGTACATCCAAGATCAAATGTACATTGGTTTAACTTCTTTTTTTTTCTTCTGAAATAAGTTTCTGAGTTCAAGTGAGGTCTCAAGTTAAAATTAAAAAAAAATGGAATGTTTCAAAAGTGTTTTTTTTTTTTTTGCCAACAAGCTGTGTGTGCAATTTTTTTTTGTAGGCGTGTGGTATTAATTCTGGCTTTTAGCAGCAATGTGAATTGCAAATGTCCGTTGAAAAGGTACATAAATATGTACATATCAAGTACAAAATAAGTGGAAACTAGTGAAAGAAGGGAGACATGAGATTTTCCTGTTTATTCTAATTTGTAGATGCGTAGATATATATATATATATATATATATATATATGCAGAATATTGCAAAATTTTTAACAGAGGTGTAAACTATGACTTAGGTTCAAACTGAATAAGTGCCACTTGTACTAGGCAGCCAACATGTTTGCAATGTTTAAAGTGTTACTGAACCCCAGACCCTGCATTCACTATATGTGGTCTCCCCAGACCCTGCATTCACTATATCTGGTCTCCTCGGACCCTGCATTCACTATATGTGGTCTCCCCGGACCCTGCATTCCCTATATCTGGTCTCCCCGGACCCTGCATTCACTATATCTGGTCTCCCCAGACCCTGCATTCACTATATGTGGTCTCCCCGGACCCTGCATTCACTATATCTGGTCTCCCCGGACCCTGCATTCACTATATGTGGTCTCCCCGGACCCTGCATTCACTATATCTGGTCTCCACAGTACACACAACATGGAAATACAATTTAGTAAATATAAACTTCTAAATACCTTTTCTCATCAGCAGTTACAGCAGTCTTGTGACTTCAGCAGAGCACTGGTTAAAGCTGTAGGAGGAGTTTTCTTTCTGCTCTAGGAGGATGCAAAACCCCTGACCTCTGTCTGTACAACATTGATTGGCCCTGTGCTGATCACATGCACCCTCCCAAGAAAAAGAAATAACCAAACTGAGCATGTGCATGTGATTACGGATTCAGTCTGTATCAGTTGGACATTTCAACAAGAGGAGGGGCAGAGAAGACAGGATCAAACAGCCTTTTTACTCATTGCAGAGGATTAACCCCTTAGGTTCCACAGTGAGTATAACAAGCATGCTTTACTGCATATACAGACTGATTTTACTGTTGTGGGTTTAGTAACACTTTAAGTTTAGCAGGCTGTCAACCAAAAATACAAAGATAAACATGAATAGCCATCGAGAGTTAAAATCACAAAAGTAGCTTTTTGCTGCATTATTTAGCTTCAATCCAGGGATTTCCCTTGTAGTTCTTTTTTTCCTGATGTCAGAATCCTCATTCTGGTGGCCAGTATAATTTAAATCACTTCCTCTGAACCCAGGTCATCCTTGACCCACCCCAGCCTGTGATTGGACACTGAAAGGAGAAAAGCACAAGGATGACTTCAGCTCTCTGTCTGCTCTCTCCTCCAATGAGCATGCTTCTTGTCAGCACATGAACTGATTAGCTCTTTGTACAACTTCTTCCTTTCACACTCCAGCGTTTCTGTATAAGGACTGCAATAGGCTGATGCCAGGTCAAATTTGAGTGCTTATACTACTTAAAAAAGAAATTTAACTGTCTGCTAGAAATTATATTTCTAGACAACATACCTCTTTGGGACATTGACCTATATCAAGAAATCCAACACTCACTAGATCTACTAAAAAAAAAAAGGGGTGCGCATTCCTGCGAATCAAAGCTACTTTGAGATGAGATGCCTAGCGTTTATTAGGACTTAAAGTGGAGCTTCACTCTTTCATTCAATATTAACTATTTGTAATCCTTATGCTGCTAGCATTAGTAAATAGATAGGAAAATATATGTATTTGTTTTTTTAAACTTTTTGTTTTACATTTCTTCAGTTACTTCCTGGTTTCCATATCTAGGCAAATGATGTCACACATCCCAGGAGTCTTCAGGAGGGGAGGAGGGGCTTTCTCAGCTAAGGCAGATGGATTGCAAATTCCAGGAAGTAAATTCATCTGCCCTTACTTAAGATGGCCATGGTCAGAAATGATAGAGAGGTGTCTTTTCAAAGTGATTTCTCAGCAAAATAAAGCATGGAGACATGGATGGATAGGAGAGTTTGCTTTGAATATTACAAATTAATTATGTAGTGCTTTTGGTTTGTGCTGCTCAGATGCAATGTAGTTCCCCTTTAAGTGTGTTTTGTAGGAATATTATGTATGTTTAATTTTTATAAGGTGAGACTCAGGGACCAACAAAAAGTCTCTCAACTGATAAGGAGACGTCTTCCCCAACAGATAGTGGCATTAACTAAAAAAAAAAAGTAGAGGTCTGCATTAAAAAAAAAATTGCACCTGGTCGAGAAAATATAATTTGCTAACAACTCAAAAGATCTGGGCCTAATATTAGGTAAGAGCTTCAAATATATGTCGATTTTGCTCTACCAAAAATATAACGATTTGGATTTTTTTTTTTATAAATTTATTTCCAAATTATAAAATTTTTGGTGGAGCAAACTTTTAATACCATTTTAATGGTAAGCTGCTCTCAATTTAGATCAAGAAAAGAATAGAACCATACTTTAAAAAGCCACCTTAACATGGAAGATGGACTTTACATGTGTGTGCAAAAAAAAAGATTTGTTTTGATCTATATGTTAGAATTATTGTATAGAAATTTGGGGCAAGAAAGATATCCATATGCCATATATATATATATATATATATATATATATATATATATATAAAGTATATATATTGTGTGTGTGTATATACTGTGAAATTAAAGGCCTACTTTTTAATTAGAGTACAGCAAGTCAATTAAACTCCTAGCATATTGATCTGGTCAGTTAAGTAGCAGAGGGGGTTGTTAATCAGTTTCAGCTGCTTTGGTGTTAATGAAATTAACAACAGTTGCACTAGATGGGCAACAATGAGCCAACCCCCAAAACAGGAATGGTTTTACAGGTGGAAGCCACTGACATTTTTTCCCTATTCATCTTTTCTGACTGTTTTTCACTAGTTTTGCATTTGGCTATGGTCAGTGTCACTACTGGTAGCATGAGGCCCTACCTGGACCCTATAGAGGTTGCACAGACAGTCCAACTCCTCCAGGATGGCACATGAATATGTGCATTGCCAGAAGGTTTGCTGTGTCTCCCAGCACAGTCTCAAGAGCATGGAGGAGATTCCAGTAGACAGGCGGTTACTCTAGGAGAACTGGACATGGCCATAGAAGGTCCTTAACCCATTAGCAGGACTGGTATCTGTTCCTTTGTTCAAGGAGGAACAGGATGAGCACTGGAAGAGCCCTACAAAATGACCTCCAGCAGGACGCTGGTGTGAATGTCTCTGACCAATCAGTAACAGACTTCATGAGGGTGGACTGAGGGCCCGACGTCCTCTAGTAGGCGCTGTGCTCACTGCCCGGCACCATAAAGCTCGATTGGCATTTGCCATTGAACACCAGAAGTGGCAGGTCCACCACTGGCGCCCTGTGCTTTTCACAGATGAGAACAGGTTCACCCTGAGCACATGTGACCGACGTGAAAGGGTCTGGACTAGGCGTAGAGAACGTTATGCTGCCTACAACATCATTCAGCATGACCGTTTTGGTGGTGGGTCAGTGATGGTCTGGGGAGGCATATCCATGGAGGGACGCACAGACCTCTACAGGCTAGACAATGGCACCCTGACTGCCATTAGGTATTGGGATGAAATCCTTGGACCCATTACCAGACCCTATTCTAGTGCAGTGGGTCCTGAGTTCCTCCTGGTGCATGACAATGCCTGGCCTTATGTGGTGAGAGTATGCAGGCAGTTTCTGGAGGACGAAGGAATTGATACCATTGAATGGCCCCCAATCTCGCCTGACCTAAATCCAATAGAACACCTCTGGGAGGTTGCACCTCAGAATTTCCAGGAGCTCAGTTATGCCTTGATCCAGATATGAGAGGAAATACCCCAGGACACCATCTGTCATCTCATTAGGAGCATGCCCCCATGTTGTCAGGCATGCACACAAGCATGTGGGGGCCATACAAACTACTGAGTACCATTGTGAGTTGCTGCAATGAAACTTCAGCAAAATGGACTAGCCTGCTGCATCGTTTTTTTCACTTTGATTTTGAGGGTGTCTTTGAATTCAGTCCTCTGTAGGTTGATAATTTTCAATTCCATGAAACAATGGGACATCCTTATCTTCCTAACACATTACCCAGTCCATATCAGTAGATATGCAGCATGATATTGTTCTCCATTGAGATCTGATGTGTTTTCAAAGTGTTATTTTAATTTTTTGGAGCAGTGTATATATAGAAAAAAATTAAATATCTATATACTGTATAACACTTGCGCTCAGTTAATAAACCACAAAGAACTACAATAAAACAAAATAAAAGCAGCTTGCACATAAATAGGCAGTGTTACAATGTAAAATGGAAAAATGCAGCACTAATTATAAAATCATATAAAAGTCAAAATAAAGTCCATATAAGTCCCCAAATGACTGGAACCAGGTGCATAAAAAGATTTAGATCCAAAAACCGTCACCATACACTCGAAACATATTGGCCTCTTACCAGACAATTTGACCGTACAAAACCGATCAGCAAGCGCAGTGTGATATAACATCAATACAGCAAACGATCTACTACATTATGAGTTGCCTTCCCTTTTTACTCTTTTCCTGACCGTCGGATGGGAGTTTCTTCTATTCGGAGATCTTTAAAGCTGGAGAAGTTATCTTTTATCTGGGAGAGAATTTCTACTAAGGATCGTTTGCTGTATTGATGTGATATCACACTGCGCTTGCTGACTGGTTTGTACGGTCAAATTGTCTGGTAAGAGGCCAATCTGTTTCGGGTGTATGGTGATGGTTTTTGTTTGGAAATTCTTTTATGCACCTGGTTCCATTCATCTGGGGACATATATGCACTTTATTTTGACTTTTATATGATTTTATAATTAGCGGTGCATTTTTCCATTACACACACACACATATAATAGTGTTTGTGTATGTATATTGTGGGGTTAGCCCAGGTGGGGGATCACCTTCCCTGGGAAAAAGGGTAGACCCCACAGCAGGCTTTATTAAAATCTGACTGGTTGTCAGCTTTATTTACAGGTTTGCAAAAAATGTCAAAACAAACAAAACAGTAAAATAAACCCTTGCCATCCAGGCACTAACTAAACATGAAACTTTCCTCTCTCAGAGGTGAAGGGCTTCTCCCTGTCACCCAAAAACAAAACAAACGCAAACCTTTTCTTGTAGGTATAGTGCACACACAGCTCTCTCAGAATAGCTCTCTGAGTCCCAAGCCACGAGCAACTCCTTGCTCCAGTCCTGTCTTATTTATACCACCTGTTGGTGGTCATCAGTGGAGTCCAAACTCTGGTCCGGAACCACCTCTGCCATTGTGGCCCCGAAAACCTGGAGTGGACTCCACCTTACACCTCACAGTATGACCTCATGCGAGGTGACACATATCGTCCATCCATCAGTTTGCTGTTCATACTGTCACATATCCCCCCCCCCTCTGCTCAAGCCCCTGCGGCTGAGCAACTGTCCCAACAAGGCAATGGACCCGGGAGAGGGCATCTACATTACTTTGCAGTTTCCCCGCTCTGTGTTCCACTGTGAATTTGAACACTTGTAGCACGAGAAACCACCTTGTCACTCGACTGTTTTTCTCCTTATTATCACACATCCATTTGAGCGGGGCATGATCAGTAACCAACTTGAACTGTCTTCCTAACAGGTAATATTTCAGGGCCTCCAAGGC